GAGGCAACACACCCTCGTAAATTACAGTATCTTCGCGTCCCCGAAGCCAGAATCCCTCGTACATTACGCCATACTCGCATTGCCGAAGCCAAGAGTGCTCCAAGGCGCCCGAAGATGGTTCCAAGACGGCCCAAGAGAGCCCCAAGAGGCCCCCAGAACGATCAAAGAGGCCTCCCGATAGAGCCCCAAGAGGCCAAGGATTTGGGGTTCTCGTATTTTCGGCTTTCCGACGCTCCAACATGGCTCAAGAAGCTCCCAAGTCCCAAGACCGCCCCAAGACAGCCCAAGACGCCTCCAAAAGGGCCCCAAGACGGCACGAGAAGGCTCCAAGATGGCCCAAGAAGCGTTCCGAGAAGTCCCGAGAAGCCCCCAGGAGGCCCCAAGAGGCCCCAAGAGGCGCCCAAGACGCGCCAGAGAGGCCTGCAAGAGACCCAAAGGATATCCCACGAGGCCTCCCGAGGCCCCCAAGAAGCTCCCAAACCGCCTCCAAGAGGCCCCCGAGAGGCTCCCCACGACACCCCAACATATATACAAGAGGTCTGAGACCCACAACGCAGGCACGGTAGCGGGATGGGCCGAAGGCCACTAGGATCCGCCGCCCCCTGTCGATTCATCGCAGGGGTGCCTGGCGTGCTGGATCCTTTCGGTTTTGGTTTTGGTTCTTTTTCCAAAAGAACTCCCCCTGGGGCTTCGGCACGTCCTGCCACCGTGCCGTTGGCTCGGGACATCCTCAAAAAATCGTGAAGATGGCCCAAGATGGCCTCCAAGTCCGCCCAAGATGGTCCAAGACGGCCTCCAAGACGGCCCAAGAGAGTCCAAGACGGCCCAAGACGGCCCAAGAGGCCCCCCAGAGGCCTCCCAGACGGCCCAAGAGGCCTCCAAGAGGTCCTCCAGGAGGGCCCGAAGAGGCCGAAATCATCTTTTGTCTTAGGTTTTTTGAAGGATTTTGGAATGTGCTTCTTCTCGGCATTCCGACGGCTCAAGACGGCCCAAGAGGCCCCCAAGATCGCCCAAGAGGCCCCCAGGAGGGCCCCATGACGGCCCAAGTGGCCTCCAAGAGGGTCTCCAGAAAGGCCCGAAAAGGCCAAAATCATTGATTTCCCATGGGTTTTTGAAGGATTGTGGCATTTGTTTTTTTGTCTGCCTTCCGACGGCCCGAGACGGCCCAAGTGCCCCCAAAGATCGCCCAAGAGGCCCAAGACACGGCCCCAAGAGGCCCCCAAGACGGCCCAAGAGGTCTCCAAGACGCTCAAGATGGCCTCCATGACGGTCCAAGAGCCTTCCAAGACGTCCTCCAAGAATGCCAGAAAGAGTCAAATGGCCTCCAGACGGCCAAGATGGCCTTCAAGATGCCCACGTGTTCCCCGAAGGCTTTCCAAACCGATTCGGGGAACAAATGGTCCGATAGCTTGGCAGGTCTGGCCTCAACGTTCGGCCACATAGGCGCTTCCACAAAGGCAGGGAGCGGCGGTGGTTCGCCGTAGGCGTCTTCGATCCGCCGCCCCCTGTTGATTCATCACAGGGGTGCCTGGCGTGCTAGATCCTTCCGATTTTGGTTTTGGTTCCTTTTCCAAAAGAAGCCCCACTGGGGCTTCGGCCCGTCCCGCTGGCCACCTGGAAAGGATCTCAATTGTACAATGTTTCCTCCAAGACGGCTCAAGATGGCCTCCATGATGGCCACGTTGGCCCAAGATGGCCTCCAAGATGGCCTCCGATGGCCTCCAAGTCCGCCCAAGAGAGGAGGAGATGCCACCAAGTCCGCCCAAGAAACCTCCAAGACGGCCCAAGACGGCCCATGAGGTGCCCAAGAGGCCTCTAAGACGGCCCAAGAGGCCTCCAAGAGGTCCTCCAGGAGGGCCCGAAGAGGCCAAAATTATTGATTGTCCAGAGGTTTTTGATGGAGTTTGGCATTCGCTTCTTCTCGGCTTTCCGACGACCCAAGACGGCCCAAAGAGGCCCTCAGGATCGCCCCCACAGCGCCCAAGAGGCCTCCAAGATGGCCTCCGGACTGCCCAAGAGGCCCCCAAGACGGCCCCAAGAGGGCACAAAGACGACCCAAGAGGCCTCCAAGACGCCCAAGATGGCCGGTAAGACGGCCCTGGAGCACCCCAAGAGGGCCCCAAGCCGGCCCAGAAAGGCCCCCCAAACAGCTTCTGACGGCGTCAGACGGGCCAGGAGCCCACCAAGTTGGCCGAAGTTGGCTCGAAGCTGGCCCAAGAGGGCCCAAGCCTGTTGATTCATCACAGGGGTGCCTGGCGTGCTGACCCCTCTCGTTTTTGGTTTTGGTTTTTTGTCCAAAAAAACTCCCCCTGGGGCTTCGGCCCGTCCCGCCAGCCACCTGGAAAGGACCTCAATTGCACAATTTGTCCTCCAAGACGGCTCAAGACGGCCACGTTGGTCCAAGATGGCCTCCAAGATGGCCTCCAAGTTCGCCAAAGATGGTCCAAGACAGCCTACAAGACGGCCCAAGAGAGTCCAAGACGGCCCAAGAGGCCCCCCAGAGGCCTCCAAGGCGGCTCAAGAGGCCTCCAAGAGGTCCTCCAGGAGGGCTCGAAGAGGCCAAAATTATTGATTGTCCAGAGGTTTTTGATGGAGTTTGGTATTCGCTTCTTCTCGGCTTTCCGACGACCCAAGACGGCCCAAAGAGGCCCTCAGGATCGCCCCCACAGCGCCCAAGAGGCCTCCAAGATGGCCTCCGGACTGCCCAAGAGGCCCCCAAGACGGCCCCAAGATGGCACAAAGACGACCCAAGAGGCCTCCAAGACGCCCAAGATGGCCTCTAAGACGGCCCTGGAGCACCCCAAGAGGGCCCCAAGCCGGCCCAGAAAGGCCCCCCAAACAGCTTCTGACGGCGTCAGACGGGCCAGGAGCCCACCAAGTTGGCCGAAGTTGGCTCGAAGCTGGCCCAAGACGGCCCAAGAGGCCTCCATGGTCCGATAGCTTGGCAGGTCTGGCCTCAACGTTCGGCCACATAGGCGCTTCCAAGAAGGCAGGGGGCGGCGATGATTCGCCGTAGGCGCCTTCGATAACGCCAACGTCTCAATATGTGCTGATGATGTTCCCTGGTGCGCCAAGGCAGCGACGAGACGCACCGAAGTGCATGGCACCATGATCTGAAAGAGGCCATCCGGGCAGGAGCCCGAGCCGACTCCGAGCCGCAAGTGACAATGAAGCCGGACGAGCTCAGCGGTGAACGCTGGAATGAGCGGTGGGCACTTGTCGGCAGCACGCAGCCGCGGGGCGGGGAGCTGCACCGGTACCCAAATTTCCGACGATGTGGGATACGAAAAGAAGCGGGTCTTACGCCGCGGTTTACGCGGGCCGCCAACGTGGCACACCGCGTGGATAAGCGGGCACTTCGGTTACGCGCGGCCTTACGCGCGAAGCTTACACGCGCAGGTCGGCGCAGTCGACCCCAATATTCTTCCGTCGCTCATATGAATTTTTCAACCGGCGGTTTTGCTTTGGTTTCGGCTGGCGGGGACCGTTTTCGAGACCAGGAACCATCAAACATGATCGGGGGACGAAACACAACCCTGGAGAATCGGTCGGAACCTCTGGGGCCGCGGATTAGAAACATGACATCGGCAGGTGCAAGGGCACGACCAGTGGGTAGACAATTCTGTCGACGTCCTTGCCCTGGGATCTCGCGCGCAGAGGAAGTTGGGCAGATCGCCTCCACGCTCGGACTCAGCCCGCAGCAAGCGATCAACAAAGGCATGATGGCGATTGAAGAAGTGGGGAAGTTGTTCGAGCAGCAGAAGGCCGACCTTCTATCTCAGACCAGTCCGTCGGCGTTTGCACAAAGAACGGTAGCCCTCTCGAGCTGCACCAACTGAGCGGCTTCAGTACGAAGGACGAGCGGGCGACCATATCGCCCTGAATCTTGAAGCCGATATGGCCTATGCTCCATCACTCCGCATACATGACTCGAGCAACAGGATGCCTAGATCGCGAGGCGACTGGGAGTTCAGCATGCTGCTGGAGATGGAGAACGGGGCAAGGATGCAAACAAATGCATCAAGGCCACCCTCGATATGTAAGTCTCGACACATCTCGATTGGGACGATGTTGAGAAACGGGTCGAGACCAGGGGACGAGCTCATCGCTTAACGGAGTGAGCTAGGGCGGATTCAGAGTGAGGTGTCGACAAGAGCAAGCAGACGGCCCCCAAACCTTACAGTCACTCACTGTGATTGGGGATCGGCTAACTGATGAGCACATTGTTTGAGCTCCGTATTCCCTTGGCGCGGTGGCTTGTGCGACACATACGCTGACAAGCAGTAGGCAAAGCCCGAGACGCGGTGGCTTGAGTAGCCCACACGCCACAACCCTCCACGTTGGACTGTGTGCACGCGCGCGCATCTGCCGTGCGAGAGCGCTGGCACTGAGCTGCGTGTGCGGTGCCTGAGCATGGCCGTCAGACCGACCTGGCGCGGGCGACGGCCGGTGAGAAAACGCACCCTGCAGCCGTCCCTCCGCGTGCCTGGCCCAGCGGGGCCAGACCCAAGGGCTCCTAACTTCGCGCTGCGCGAAGCGCGAAGCGCGAACAACTTTGCGCTCTCGCGCCGCCCCAAAAGGGAGAAGAGGAGGACGAGGAGGAGGGGGAGGAGGAATGAGGCCCGCGAAGCGCGAAGCGCGACAAACTTCGCGCCCTCGTGGGAGCCCTTGAGACCTGTGGGTCTCAGCACACTGCACTGCCCAGGGGGCCAAGCACGAATGGTCCCATGGGATCCGCACCGTCGGGCTGCTGCAAGGCATCTGGCCTCGGCGTGCCCGACCCTCGCCTGCACATCGGTGGCTCGGGAGTGCGGACAGTGTCGAGCGATCGCCCCGATGCCATCAAACCCTCCCACGGGCCAGGGGGAGGGGCAGGAGAGAAACAACAGGTAACGAGAGAGAACAGGAAGGATCACGGAAATGATGACAATGCATCTGAAGAGGTAGAAGCTCCTCCACCTCGTCCAACTTCCTCCTCGTCCCTCATTCTCCCGCCGCTCCTGAGCTCGTTGCGGTCGGAGATGAAGGCTGGGAGGTTCGGCGTCCTCAGTCCGAGGAGCTGCATGAGCGGGAGAGGGGACAGGGGAAGGGCAAGGGGAGCTGTTATGTGAGGCGGAGGGGATGTTGGGAGCGGGGATTCAGGGGAGGAAAGGGATACGGGGCGCGGGGGCGAGGAGCGATGAGGGGGGATGGGGATTCTTGGGCCGTCTCGGTGCAATCTTGGAGATCTCTTGAGCCGTCTCGGAGCGTCAGAAACTCGAAAAGGCGGACAACACCCCCAAAACGCTGAAAAAAAACACAGAAAATCAAAGTGATGTGCCTCTTGGGGCCCTCTTGGGAAGGCTATTTGGGGCTCTCTTGGGGGGCCTCGAAGGCCTAGTGGGCCGTCTTGAAGCCGGGAGGGCGGACAGGGCGAAGACAAGTGGTGGCGGGGGACGGCGGCCAGGACGGAGTGGAGCCAGGGGCAGGGACGGGGCGCGAAGTCGGGAAGGGAGGAGCAGAGGCGGGGGAGGGGGCGGGGAGGGAGGGGAAGGACGAGATCGTCGTCGTCGTCGTCGAAGGAGAAAAAGGGAGGGGGGGGGGGGAACCAGCACATGGGGCGGGCGGGGGCGGGGCAGCGAGGGCGAGGGCGGGGGTGGGGTAGCGGGGGGGCGGACGGACGGCGCGGCTCGTGCCACCGTTGGTGAAGGGAGGGCTTTTGCACGAAGGGGCAAGGCAAGGCAAGGCGCGCCCGAGTCCGCCGGGGAGGCGGGGCCTGGAAGGCCGGCGCGGGCGGGCCGGGGCCCTCAGTTGTAGATCTGGAACTTGTGGTCAGTGCTGTGTGTGTGGCGTAGGAACGCTTGTTCCAAATTGCTCCATTGAGTGCTGTCCTGTGCTAATGTAAATCATCGTTCGCTTCCAGGTTGGAGAAACATGTTTGCTGTCAGAATTTGTGTGGTATCGTCTTCCCACCTCTTCCTCTGACCCCCGTGTCTGCGGACTGCTTGTCGGAAGTTGTGGATGTCCGGCTCTCACGTCGCAGCAAGTCGGGCCCATCGGAGTCGGAACCAGCAGAATACCTTCAGCCATTCCGCCAACATAATCAGGATCGTGAGCCGGAGTCGAGAAGACGAGCTGGAAACGGATCCGGGGACGGGGAGGCGGGATGGGAGCTGGAATCGGAGAGGCGGGAATTGGAATTGGAGCTCGAAACGGAGAGACGGGAACCGCAGTCGGAGCCGGAGTCGGAGAGATGGGACGGGCGCCGGAGTCGGAAACCAAGGAGCTGAAATCGGAGCTGGAGTCGGAGAAATGGGCGCCGGAATTGGAAACGGAGTCGTAAAAATGGATGGGAGCTGGAGTCGTAAAGTCGGGAGCTGGAGCCAGGGCTGGAGTCGGAGGGATGGGAGCTGGAGTCGGAACCAGCAGAAGACTTTCAACCATTCCTGCCAACAGAAATGATTTAGATCGTGAACCGGAGTCGGAAAACCTTCAACCATTCCTGCCAACATAAAAATCAGGATCGTGAGCCAGAGTCGGAAAGACGAGAGTTGGAATCGGAGCCGGGGTCGGGGAAATGGGATGGGAGGTAGAATCGGAGAAACGGGAACCGGAATCGAGGCCGGAGTCGGAGAGATGGGATCTGAACTCGGAACCGGAATCGGAGAGATGGGACGGCTGCTGGAGTCGGAAAGCTGGGAGCTGGAATCGGTGCTGGAGTCGGAAAGGTGGGCGCCGAAACAGTGTCGGAGAGATAGAGCGGGAGTTGGAGACGAAACCAGTGTCGGAGGTAGGGGAGCCCCTGGGTTCAAATCAGGCGGTATTTTTGGAGCCTTTTTGGGGAAGGGAGAAATATTTTTCCATGTAGCTGAGAAAACCGTTCTCCAAACCTTTCCACAATTGTGCATGATATGCCATATATATATATATATATATATATATATATATATGTTACCAATTGGATGTCGCAGTGGTATTCTGTGACAATCTTAATAAACGACACTATATCATCGTCCCAAGTCTTTCGCTGACCGCCGCCTCGTCGTTCTGCTCGTCGTGCGTCGTGCGCGCTCGGGTCCCAACGTATACAACGAAGGGGGCGGCAAGTGTTTCGGATGCTGGGAGGGGGGGTCGCAGCACGAGGTGCGGAAGAAAAGGGCGAACAGGGGAGGATGAGGGAATGATGATGATGAGGAGTAGGAAGAGGAGGAGGACGAGGAAGGAAGAGGAGGGAAGAGGAGGAGATAGGACCGGAGGAAGAGGATAAGCGAGGAGCGAAGAGCGAGGAGCGAACAGGAGGAGGAAGAAGAAAAGGAGGAAGAAAACGAAGAGGAAAACGAGGGAGAGGAGGAGGAAGAAAAGAGGAAGAGGAGGAGGATGAAGATGAGGGGGAGGAGAACAAAGGGTGCTGGGGGTACCAATGGTGCGCCCTGTCCGCAGGGCCCGTTACCAAGGCTAGACTCGGCAAACGCCGAAGCACATCAGCTGGGCCAGTGCCCAGACAACGAAGCGAATCCGCCAAGTCGACGAGAGAAAAGCAAGCCGCCCAATGGCAGCCAAAATCGAGGCGCGGCAGCCGCGGCAAAAGAGATGGGCACAGGCGGTCCAACCATCAGCCCCAGAGTGGGTCGTCGACCTCCAGCTCTCCGATGTCCCTCCGCCATACAGCGAATATCGTGACTGACCTGCTCCAGGGACGCTCCGATGGCGTCTGGAAGTAGAGCGCACTCCGCCTCCTCGCCAAGGCCACGAGCTACGCCGCGGTAGTGTTGACATTTGGCAGGCGCGTGGAGCCAGCCGAGCCTCCATGGCCCTTGCTGCTGCTCTGGCGTTTGCTGTTATCTAGAGACTTGGAGCGGCCAAAACCCAAGTGGGCGACGTTAACCACCTCCGTTCCCTTGATGTCCTGGTAGGTGATGTCGCCAGCCCGCCACATCTACCAAGATATCGTCCTCTTCCGAGCCCAGCGACTAGGTTTTTGCACCTCGGCCTGGAGATCCTCCGTGGGGTCTCCATCACGTTGTTCTGGGTAGTGCCCGCCTCATTCAGGTTCTTCCCCAAGTGCTGGCAGATATTTTCGCCGGGGGCAGAACGAGGTTCGCATCCAGCCCCTCCTTCTGCCTCGGATGTTCGTCCATGGCTCCCCCCCCCCTCCACGGCCAGTAGCTCGGCCGCGGCGCAGACGCGTGTTCGGGCTGAGTGGTGCGAAAACTACTCACCTCTAGATGGCCCAATGGCGAACCGCCTGCAGCTCGCAAGGGGCCCCTCACCTTGTCGCCCGTCAGGGCCGCGGCTAGGCTCGTCTCCAGATGCTCCATCTGCTTCTTTTGCTGCAGCAGCGTCTCCCACGAGACAATGCGCCCGCAAACCTTGTAAGTGCTGCGGAAAACCGAAATTCGTATAGCTGCACATGTGCATTTCCGTTTCAACGCGAACTGCGTGGCCTGCCCTTTCGAAGTCTTCCAAGGCACCTTGCCACTCTTCTTGTGGCTGTCCTGCTGGCCCAACGCCATCTCCTGACACCGTTGCCTCAGATGGTCCCCCCACAAAGAGTCGGGCGTGACGCGATTCGCCACATTCTTCTCGAACTCTTTGTTGCGCAGCTTGTCCTTCTCGATGAACGCCTTCCGCGCGGCTGGCAGCTCGAGCTCGCGCTCGCTGGGCATGTGCTTCACTGATTGCGCGGGTGCATGCGAAGTCCCAATGACCTCCGAGCCCCACCTTGCCGGAGTCCAGCACCTCGCCCTCGGTGCCCTTGCCCGAGGATGCTTGGTGCCAGCACCCATCTGATTCCTCGGCGCGCCTCGGGGGCGTGCGAGGCGCTTTCCCTGTGCGCGGGCGCCCCTCCTGGGGCGCGCCAGCGCTGCCCCGGGCGGCCATCGTCGATGGGGGGCGGCCGAACCATCAGAATCTCCAGCGAATCCTCGGAGCCTGCTTCCCAGCTGGTAGCCGATGGGCGAAAATGGCACGAAAATGGCGCCCATGCTAATCCTGCTCTGGCCGCCGCGGCTCCGCGCCGCCGCGCACAGTCGACGCGCGCCGCGCGACGCCCGAAGGACCTCGGGCCGGAAAAGCTGGCGGAGAAAGAAGGCGGAGAGGAAGGGGGGGAAGGAGGGGGGGGGAGGAGGCAAAGGCAAGGCTCAAATCCACACGGTCTGGCGCTTTCGCGCGGCCGCTCAGGCAGCGGGGGGGGGGGAGGGGGAGGAGGGGGGGAAATGGGAGCGCGGGACTGGCCGCTGCGCTCAGCCTCTGCCTGCTTCGCGGGCCACAGTCGCCGCCGCGGGGCGGAGGGCCGCGCCGACCTTCTGGTCGATGTCCCTGACGCGGCGCACTGCGGCCGCCTGGAGCGCGCGGCCTTCCTGGCCGCGCTGGGCAGCGGCGTCGGCGTCCGCGTTAGCCGGCAGCCATGCCTCGGCCTGGCAGGCTTGCTGGCAGGCGCGCCGAAGCCAGTGCTCGGCCTTCGCCGGTTCCAAGTCGCCCGCGTGGCTCGGGGCCCAGACGACGTCCCACATGTCCAGGGTTGGGGCGGCGAGCTGCGCGATCCGGCGCCAGAGGTCAGATGCCCCCCTATAGCTTCGCAGACTGCCGCGGCATTTCGAAGACGGCGTGAGCCTCGGACCACTGCTTCGGCGCCCGCCAGCAGCAGCACACGCTGCTCGGCCAGGTCCGCGCGTAGCGGCGCAAACAAGACACCATGTACCTACGCCCTCCCAGAGGAGCTTTTTCTCATGCTTGTTTTTGTTAAAGTGAGAATTCGCATGTTTTGCTTCGAAAACAAAAATTTCTCATCTGCGGTTTTCTCACATTTTCTGTTTTGTCAGTGCCTTACTGATCGCGCGGTGGCTTTCGCGTCGTAAACGCGACAGTGGCACGAAAAGTGCATTTCTCTTAGCGGGTCGCCCGCGTGGGTGTACTCGCCGACGTGTCGCGGCCCGCGAGGCGCGACAATAGTGTCGCCGTTCGGCGACGTGGGCGCGAGGACTCGGCCTTCGCTAAGATCGCACTAGCACAAACCAGGCGAGCGCGCGAGACCTCATCCCGCGCCACATCGCGACGACCGAATTCG